TATGGTCCTTATTTGCATCTGTAGAAGCTTATGGTAGTTTGGGAGGATGGTAAGGTCACATCCTGAAGCATATACTGGATGATGGCCAAGCAGGATCCTGGAACTGGGCTTCGGGCATCAGCTGAATGGTTGAACTTCATATCTTGAAGACCCTGTTCTAGCCCTGGCATTCTGTGAGTCATAAGTCAAAAAAGACATTTATCTAGATATAGTATGAAACCAAACAGTTTATTTTTTTTTTAAGATTTTATTTATTTATTTGACAGAGAGAGATCACAAGCAGGCAGAGAGGCAGGCAGAGAGAGAGGAGGAAGCAGGCTCCCTGCTGAGCAGAGAGCCCGATGCGGGGCTCGATCCCAGGACCCTGAGATCATGACCTGAGCCAAAGGCAGCAGCTTAACCCACTGAGCCACCCAGGCGCCCCGAAACCAAACAGTTTAGTAACATAAATGATGCCAACAAGTAGTTGTAGAAGTTGGTAAGTACACGTATGCACCATGTACTTACCTCCAGATATGTGCTTGTAATCAACATATGTATATATGTGAACAGCACATGTAACTTCTAAAAATATTATCGCCGTACAAATTAAGGTCATCTCATCAAAGTCAAAATGATTTCCCTCCCTTATATTTTGATTCAGCCCTTCAGAAGAGCTTGCAGTTTTTATTTTCCAACTAGAATTTCTTCCTTCAAAGGATGCTAGGTTGTTTCTAGTTCTCCGTGTCTTGGTTAACTGGGGGATCACCTATCTTTTGACCATGTTGTTGCTTAGTTGCTTTTTCTTTGGTAACAACTGAGTGCCCATGCACTAGATAAGGCTCTGGTAATTAGAACAAGAATATTTGAGGGCCACAGACTGTTAAGCATTTAGCACTAGAGCTTATGGTGAAAAATTAAGCTCAAGAAAACTGGTAATTCCTATAGATTGAACTCAGTGATGACTATGGCAGCATTATTCAGCAGGCAGCATACAGATTATAACCTTGTATTACTAAGTACTGATTTGGAGTCAGACAAATTGGGTAACATTTTATAGTCTATCTTCATCTGTAGTATGGAGATAGGAATCCCTACCTCATGGAGTGGATTTTACTATTAAAATGGGATATGTGTAAAATACTTAGAGCCACCCCTGACATAAGGTTTTTCAATACACAATCAGTAATCCTATTAACATAAAGATGTGTTTGTGGTATTTTCCAAGCCTTTTCCTCTCTAGATTAAAATAGATTTTCTGTGGATAATTTTGTTCCCCAGATACACAGGAATTGGAGAGACTTTTAACGATTAATCCCACAGCACGCTAGTACTGCACCAGCACAGAATACAGACTGGGTCTGTACAACATGTTTTTTCCCCAGCAGTCATCCATCTTTCATGGCCCTGCCTGGCCAAGTGTAATATAAACACTTGATTGAGTTTCTTGGTGCTGACATTTAGGATTTCACAGCGTTCGTCTGCACTTAATATCTGTCAACTGAAAAGGCCTGGCAACGTTGCAGTTGGTTCCTCCTACTGCCAAGGTGTTAATGGTTTAACTAAAAATAAAAAAAGACAGGTTCTGCCAAGCTTGGTTAATTTAAGATACACTCCCTAAAGGGCATAAGCCAAAAAAAGACCTGTGCTGTACGCCTTTGTTACTGTATCCAGTATGAACGAGTTTTGAACATAAAAATGTGTGATGGTTGTAGATCATTGACTTGGTTTCAGCAGGATGTTTTATTTAGGCACGTATTAGTCAACTGCCGTTCAGAATGCCACAGACCACAGAGCTTAAAAAAGTAGAAGTTCATTTTCTCAAAGTTCTGGAAGCTCAAAGTTGGAGATCAGGGTCTCAGCATAGTCAAGTTCTGGTGAGAGCTCTTTTCCTTGCTTACAGATGGCCCCCTTCTCCCTGTGTCCTCACATAGCCTTTGCTTGGTCAGTCCTCACAGAGATAGAGTGAGTTCTCTCTCTTCCACCTCTTGCAAGGCCACCAATCCAATTGGGTTAAGACCCTACACTTACTTAACCTTCATTACCTCCTGAAAGTTGTAGCTCCAAAGAAGTCACAGTGGGGGTTAGGACTTCAACATATGAATTTTGAAAGGACACAGTTCAGTCCATATCAGGCACTTGTCCACAAGGAAAATGGTGAAAGAAATTGCAGATTAGTCATCTGCAGCCAAGACATTGGATCCTAAATACTACTAGAAATAATAGTACCCCACAATAAGACCGGATGGACTAATAAATACCGATCTTCTTTAATTTGGAGCAGAATTATATTTTATTTTATGATAACACTGATTATTTCATGAAAATTAAAAGTTCTTGGGGAAGCTGGGTGGCTCAGTTGGTTCTGCCTTCAACTCTTGATTCTGGCTCAGGTCGTAATCTCAGGGTCCTGAGACGGAGTCCCATGACAGACTCTGTGTGTTCATCATGGGGTCCACTTGTCCCTCTCCCTCTGCTACTCCTCCAACCCCTGCTTGCTCTTGCTCTCTCTCTCACTTTCAAAAAAAAAAGTTTTTTTTTTTAAGATTTTATTTATTTGACAGACAGAGATCACAAGTAGGCAGAGAGGCAGGCAGAGAGAGAGGAGGAAGCAGGCTCCCCGCTGAGCAGAGAGCAGGGCTCAATCGCAGGACACTGGGATCATGACCTGAGCTGAAGGCAGAGGCTTTAACCCACTGAGCCACCCAGGCGCCCCTCAAAAAAAAAAGTTCTAATTGGGCTTTGTATATACCTAGATGACTTTTATGAAAAATAAATTATAAATGCCATTTACTTAGTTCATCAATTTTTAACTCCACCATCATCTTTAAATTTTCTTGCTAAAAATATCAAAGCTAGCTCTAACCCATGCTCTGAGATCTGTGGTCTAGATACTATCAGTGTACAGGAAATACAGGGAACATAAGATTATGTTATATGATATCTCAGGGAGGCAATCTACACAAAACAGAATGCAGGACTGTCTATAGGACAAAATCCCAGCTTCTTCAGTTAAAAAGAGAGCGACCAATAAAAAACGAATAAACTATTGATACACACAACAACTTGGGATTATGTTTATTTGTTTATTTTTTTAGAGATTTTATTTATTTATTTGTCAGAGAGAAAGCACGAACAGGGAGAGCTGCAAGCAGAGGGAGACGCAGGCTCCCCTCTGAGCAAGGATCCCGATGCGGGACTCGATCCCAGGATTCTGGGATCATGACCTGAGTCCGAAGGCAGATGCCGAACCCACTGAGCCACCCAGGCGTCCCTGGGATGTTTAGCAAACCCCACATGTAATCCAAAAGGTTGCATACTGTGTGGTTCCATTTGGATCAGGAATCAGCACGCTTTGGAGCCGGTACCCAAGAGAGGTATTTGCGTCTATGAGACAAAGCACCAGCAGCCAGCACAGCCAGTGCCCTGGGGTTCCATGGTCAGGGCCTAGAACAACTGAGGGTCATGTGCCACTTCTCTGGTCAGCATGTACTGAACGAGCATATACGTGCTGGCCCTGCAAATAATAAAGGGAAATAAAGCATGACTCTGCAGTGAGACTATGGAATCAGAATTAGCAAACTTGACTTTGAGAACAATTACCTTCTAGAACCCATAGCACTGGCTTTAAGGACTTAATAAAGTTCTAGGAAGACAGGGCTCAGTGTGAGCTGAACTAGACAAAGGAAGCTTCGCGGAAGAGGTGCTGAGCAAGTGGTCTGGACAGAAGGAATATGGATTTCAGACAGCGAGTGGAGTATGAGGGAGGATAACAGGAATGAGCATAGCAGATGGGAGCAGCTGGATGGGAGCTGTCAGAATCCGAAGTGACGCAGTCCGCAGCACTGGGTAGTAAGACCATGTAGATGGACCAGGGAGGGCGAGGCCATTGCAAATCAGGCAAATGATTATAATCTCCTTAAGGGCAAGCATTAAGCCATCCTTGTAAGTTTAGAGTAGGAATGACCTCACAAAATTATGATTATTCAAATTAAAGCTTATACAGTCTGAGAGGCAGTTCAGCCATGTGTAAAATATCCTTAAAAATGTTTATTCCAGTAGATTCTGTTTTTTGAGGGTGCTAGTGACATGGTTCTGTTCACTTTATAGAAATTCATCACGCTGTGCACTTAGGGTTTGTGTTCATTTCCATATGTATGTTATACTCAAAAATAATGTTTTAGTGTACTTGGTGGGTCCTGGGGGGACTCACATGGGCGCAGCAGGTAGATTACATGTGAACATCTATGAACCCATGAGTGATAAGGGAAATAATCTATCACTGACTGGCCAAGGTCACATAGATGGTCAGTGGTAGAACCAGAAGTCACAGATCTTTAGGTCTCCTGACTAGCAGTTCAATATGACTTCTTTATGGAAAGTAAGCATTTCATTCAGCCTTCCTTAGTTTATATACATTCCTTATATGTTGGAGAAATCAGACCATTAGCACTTTCCAAATACAAGCAGGAACTCTTTCTTTAAAGATTTGCATCTAAACATAACTAAGAATATTCAACTCTTCTAAGCTTTACTCTTAAAATAAATCAACTTTCCCTGAGTTATTAAAAATGCATTTTTTGTGGGGCGCCTGGGTGGCTCAGTTGGTTGGATGACTGCCTTCGGCTCAGGTCATGATCCCGGAGTCCCGGGATCGAGTCCTGCATCGGGCTCCCAGCTCCATGTGGAGTCTGCTTCTCCCTCTGACCTTCTCCTTGCTCATGCTCTATCTCACTGTCTCTCTCTCAAATAAATAAATAAAATCTTAAAAAAAAAAAAAGAGAGAGGATTTTCATTTCAGTGGTGGCGTTCCCCTATGTAATATTAGAATGCTTATTAACTATTGAAATGCAAGTTTTTCACCAGCTAAATATATTCAGTCCAGCTTAGTAAGACATTTCATTTAAACATGAAATTTCACAAAAATATAGAGTGTTCTGAAAGTAGTACAGCTATCTGTTGAAAGAAGCTACTTCAATGTGTAACACAGTAATAAATCTCTATGAAAATGTATTCTGCAGGTATGCTGGTATCCTGCTGGGCATCACAAATACATTTGCCACTATTCCAGGAATGGTTGGGCCTGTCATTGCTAAAAGTCTGACCCCTGATGTAAGTAGATAATTTGCTTATTTATGCAAACGTCTACACAATTCACTTGAGCCTGCACATCTGTGTCAAAATTGAGTATATTTTAATTAAGAGTAAAATTCTGAATGTTTATTCTTATGCAATTCTTTACATCAGCAAAGCTAAGTGCCATACTGGACAGGAAAATATATTTTCCAAGAACACCCCTTGGTTTTTAGACAAAACAACAGAATTAAGTTCAACGAAGCTGTTGTAGCTCACACCACACAAGTACTTAAAAGTGGTGATATTTTACAAGGTAAGTACCTTGTGTCTTTGGTTCGAACAAAGGAAAACTGGCAATGGAAAGTTATTCAAGAAGTGGATCCACAAAGGTGAGGTATCAGGAAGTCATGTGGGAATGAATAAGGAACTGGGGAAGCAATCACCACTGAGAGGAGCAGAAGACTTGCGAAGACATGGCATGTGTCTTCACATCTTGAAGGACGACCACACGAGAGATGGTGACGTATTCTTGGCAGTTCCACAAAGACAGGTGAAGAGAAGTAATGAGGACACAATAGGAAAATTCTGTTAAAAGCTGTCTACTCTGTGGAAAGGGCTGCCTTATGAGTTAGCAAGCCCTGAAAGAGTCAAACACGGGTTCTACAGGCATTTCATGAGTGACTATTAATATACCAGGTCCTGAGGATCCAAAGGCAAAACGACAAGCTTCTGCACTTGTGAAACTCCTCATTTAGGGATGGCACATAATCGAATAGCTAAAGTACAGTGATGAATGCTGCAGGGGAAAAAAAAAACTGTGCAGGGTGCTGTGGGCACAGGGGAGAGAGCACGCAATTTGTGGGGAAGGAGACCTGGAGGAGTGAGCCAGGTGTGGGAAGGGCACTGAGCCTCCGAAATGCAGTGGGCCCTGGGGTGGTCCCACCTCCAGCGGGGAGGCAGTGTGGTGCCACATCAGTCAGCAGAGACTCAGCACTGTACCAGTGGCTCACAGTGTGTAAGAAAGAAAAATAAATGACCTCTGACTCAAAATTTCTGTTTAAAAAAATCTAAAGCCTGTTGAAATATATTTTTCAAGTGGCTGACTTAAAGCTCTAAAAGAGACTTAATTTTTTCTTTGTCTCTGTGATCAGATTAACACCACCTAATCCTTAGAATTTCAGAATATGCTTACAAACTTTCTTATTACTAAATATACTGATCTCAGATGTGTATGTGTTCACCACAATGAGTGTTCCTATTTCTTCTCTGCTCCCACCATTCATTCATTCATTCATTCATTCATTCTCTTCAAGATTTATTCATTTAAGAGAGTTCGTTCCTTCGTGCAGGGGGAGGGGGAAGGGCAGAAGGAGACAAGCAGACTCCCCGTTGAGCGGGGAGCCTCACGTGAGGGTTTATCCCAGGACCCTGAGATCATGACCTGAGCCAAAATCAAAAGTCGGTCGCTTGGCAGACTGAGCCACCCAGGCACCCCTGCTCCCACCATTTCTGATTCCTTACTTAAATGAATCCAAGCCTCCTTGTTACTATGTTCTCTCACTTAATAGAAACGGATATTGGGAAAGTTGTGATTTTTTTTCCCCCCTAGAATTCTGTGTCTCGATATGGACATGTCAGAAATGTTTAACCTTATCTCTGCGGAGCACTGTGGCAACACAGGAACCTAAGTCAACGTACTACCATGTATTAATTTCATTTATTATGGATAATCGTAGTATTTCTGCTAAGAATACCTGGATTCCTCAGTTAAAGTCTTGAATGTTTGTAAAGTGGGAACTGAACTGGATTTGGATAGGCTATCATAGCATTTGTTTAATGTTATTAAATGGATATTATTTTTGTAAAGGAGAACACAGGGATCCCTGAGTGGCTGAGTCAGTTGAGCATCAGACTTTTTTTTAAATATTTTTTTTTATTTATTTTTTGACAGAGAGAGACACAGCAAGAGAAGGAACACAAGCAGGGGGAGTGGGAGAGGGAGAAGCAGGCTTCCCACTGAGCAGGGAGCCCGATGCCGGGCTCGATGAGGGGCTCAATGCAGAGCTCTATGCAGGGCTTGATGCAGGGCTTGATCTCAGGATCTTGACATCATTACCTGAGCTGAAGGCAGATGCCTAACGACTGAGCCACCCAGGTGCCCCAAGCATCAGACTCTTGATTTCAGTTCAAGTCATGATCCTCGGGGTGGTGGGATAGAGCCCTGCATCCGGCTCTGTGCTCAGTGTGGGGTCTGCTTGGGATTCTCTCACTCCCTCTGCCCCTCCCTCTGCATGTATGCATGCACGCACTCTCTTTCTCTCTCAAAATAAATAAAATCTTAAAAAAAAAAAAGGAGAAACACATACTTGCCTTTACAATTGTAATTGCTCACAATTGAAAATTACTGCACTGCCTCAGAAACTTTGCAGAATGAGCCAAGTACAAATAAGTAACATATTGTTAGCATATCTAAATAGTTACTAAAACTTAAGACAGATTTCTAAGGGTTTTTTTTACCAAAATACATGAATCTCTGATCAGCATAACAGAGTGCTGTCTTTCCTCATGATTTTCCTTTTTTCCTAAAAGAATGACCTCATACTAACTTCCTAGCGCCTTTCCTTTTTCTTCCTCATTGCCAATTCCCCTGCTTGCTTTTTCTTTTCTCCATGCTGCAGATGTAGCATTCTGGTTAGACTGACATTGCAAAATCCAAAAAATGGTTGTTTAAGTTAGTCACATGACCCAGAAATTAGCTAACTGCCTGATGTTTTTATACCACTGTATTATACGCTAAACAATTGTGTTTTGTTGATCGCTTAACTGGCAGATCCCATCCATGTCCTGTTTTGCTCGTCAATCAGGAGTTCTCTGTGCTGGGCCTCAAACTTGAAATTCAAAACCCATTTTAACTCATCCTTTCTTGATCTGGCTTATATCTCCCACCTAAGAACTAGGGAGATGATGGGCAAGCATATTGCTTTCCTAGTACCACATGACTGAAAGCCATGCCATGTTTTATTTTGAGTAAACTTTGAGTAAATGTTGGTGTAGAAATACACAGATCCTAAGTATACAGCTGGATGAATGTTCACACACTCATGTAACCAACACCCGTCGAGAAACGAGACGTTACCTCTCTCGCAAAGCCTCTGGGTGCTCCTGGTTGCCATTCCCCTTTCACCCTACCAAGAGGAGCCCCTATTCCTACTTTTTTTTTTTTTGAAGATTTTATTTCTTTCTTTGACAGAGACAGATCACAAGTAGGCAGAGAGGCAGGCAGAGAGGGAGGAGGAAGCAGGCTCCCCGCTGAGCAGAGAGCCCGATGTGGGGCTTGATCCCAGGACCCTGAGATCATGACCTGAGCCGAAGGCAGAGGCTTTAACCCACTGAGCCACCCAGGCGCCCCCCTATTCCTACTTTTAACACTATGGATTAGTTTTGTGTAATTTTGAGCTTTTATATAATCGAGTTTGATAAAAATGCAGTCATTTAATACGTACTCTTTTGTGTCTGGCTTCTGTTTAATATTTCGTTAGTGAGATGCATCTACCTTGTAGCTCATTCATTTTAGTTGCTGTATAGTATTCCACTGAGCAAATATATCACAGTTTCACTGTTGAGGGAGCTTGGGTTGTTTTCATCATGAGGCTTGTTGTAACAGTCTTGTGATCCCACCTTTTCTATAAAGCTGACTATAAACAAAATTTTTTTTCATGTGCATGTTTCTCTTTCTCCCTGTAGAACACTATTAGAGAATGGCAAACAGTTTTCTACATCGCTGCTGCTATCAATGTGTTTGGTGCCATTTTCTTCTCGCTATTTGCCAAAGGTGAAGTGCAAAACTGGGCTCTCGATGATCGACATGGGCACAGAAACTGAAGGAACCAATAAATAATCCTGTCTCTATTGAAGTATTTTTGTTTATCATGTAACCTAAAAGTGCCTTTGATATTTTAAATGTGTATGCAGTCTATATAAGAAAAAAATGGATGAAATTTTTAAGGCTTGTAATCATGAAATGTCACAAGTTGCCAGATTAGTAAAATTCGCTATTTTTAATCATTAATAACATGTATCCTGTAACTTAGACTTGAGGGTCATATATCTGGCTGTAAATCAGGCAACATAAAGTAGGGGAGTTCTATTGATTTTTAAGGGGCATTCTTGAAGGAATGAGTTGAATGGACCCCTCTATACCTTTGCTTAATTCAACTACATAATAATTCTCAGGTCTTGGTAAACCCTTGTTTTTTACTACTTTCCTCATATGAATTATTTGTTGACCACAGCCCCTGACACTTAGGTCTCAAACGGTAGCATCTCCACAGAGCTGCCAGCCACGGTACAATCTGGCCTGGCAACCACACGGGAAGCATGCCCGGGCAGCAGCCAAGCATTCCCTCCCTGACGGCAGGGACGCTGCCCAGCATTTATCAGAGGCGGCATCCAAGGCCAAGGTCAGCGCCAGGTCTTCAGATGGTGTTCTTCCCCTGGGCGTTGTTAATGTGTCGAGAAAGATGCGAGCAGGCCCCAGGGCAGCAAGAGGCACCTCCACAGTCTCCATACAAATCCTCACACTTTCCCTTCCCCGCCCCCCCCCACACACTGGAACATTGATTGGCATGTAAACCTTCAAGAGAATGGTGCGATGCCCAATTAGCCACGAATAAAATCATCCTTGATTAAAACTACTTTCACGAGGATTAGAACATAAATTTCCAACTCTCTGTGTTCTCTGGGCTTCGCCAGAATAAGTAAAAAAATTTTCTTAAAACTCACATTTTTTTTTCCATTTGTCTACATGTAAGCTTCTGGTTTCAGTTGAAAATTGAAGTGACTTTTATTTGGCCCCATCACCTACAACCAGTAGTGGAATCATCCTTACTTCCGGTTGCTAAAGTCCTATTTTCCAGTTTTTCCTCCGAACCACCTTCCAGTGGCTCTTGAGCATGCTTGGAGGGCATTTATGTGGTTTAGAACTTGATTTATGTTTTGCTATGTTTGTTCAACACTACCTGTAACATTTTAAGTAAAACTGATTCATGTAATATGATGTGGATACATTTCTGTAAATTTATTTTTAAATCTGTAAATAGCTTTACATTGCTATGGTGATATTTCTTTTGTAAATCATCACAATAAACATTTTTGGATTGGTTTTTGGATCTGACAGTCCTATGGTATTCTCTAGTATCTTGAGTGGCTATGTGACATCTCTGCCGTCCTCCTCAAGCCACCAGGCTACCTCCCCGGGCCCCTTCCTGTGCCACCACCAGGCCAAGGAGACTCGGGCCATCTAAGGGAGATAGCATGAGGAATCTCTATTGCCATCATCCTGCCCTTCCTAGCTCTGCAGAGGGCCCGCTCTTCTCCCTGAAGCATATGCCTACACCACAGACAGTACCCTCTCCTACCGCTCTAAGCTCTTCATTTAGTAATTCCTCTGTAATTTGCTTCTTCAATCTCCACCTCTCTTCTCGTTCTTTTCCATCTGTCTCGAAGACACTCAAGTCTTTTCTAACCTTTAAAAACAAAAGTATGAAATTCTTCTGGGGACATAAAACCACAAATACATACAGAGTATCTCTACCATGATATTCAAGAAACCGAAAGAGTGGTGGCCTGGAGAGAGAAAAATAGGCAACCAGGGGTAGGAAGGAGAATTAATTTTCACCTTACCACATGTGGCAGTATGACTGTTTAAATTAAAGCATCATTTAAATAAACAAAACACCTGTTGCTCAAGCTACTGCGTAATCACCACCAGATTTTCAGCTGCCCACTGGACATCCCCATCTGGTTATCTTCTTCACACTTGGGACTTTAAATCCAACCTCTCTCCCTCACCTCCACCTCCACCCCTAATAAAACCCGCTGTTCCCGCCACTTTTCTCACTCTTGCTAGGAGCTCCGTTTCCCCAATCACTTCGGCTTGGGCCTGGACTCATTTTTCATTCCTCCTCCTCCGTCCGCCTCCACCCCACCCCCAACATCATGTAGAATTAACCACTAGTATTTTCCATTCCAGTTTTTCAAGTCTCTAGAATTTTTTTTTTTTTAATCACTCTCCCATCTTCTAAATAAGAACTCTGTGACTTTTGTTTCCACCTAGAATAGAACAGTTAATGGTCTCACTGCCTGGAGTCTGATCTTCTGTCCAATTTCCCACTTGTGCTGGGTTATTGGTCTCAACACACCTCATTGCCCTGATCAGGATGCTCCCCCAAGCTGAATCCCCTGGCTTCCCATTGCCTACCCAGCAACCTGCCCTCCTCCCTCCACCTACTCCACCCTCATGCCCCACACTTTGTTGAAGGTACATCTGGCTACTAAACTCTTCCCCGACGCGCTATACATTGTCCCTCCCCTCCATACCTTTACCAAATCCATTCCTTGGACCTGGAAATTCACTCTTCATCCCCACCTCCTTCATGACCCTTGACTTCCTCCAATCTCCCTGATCTAGATGTGGGCTCTTCCTCTGATCCACTGAAACATATTATTTATCTTCAGTTTTTTTTTTTATTTTAATCTCAGGAAAAGATCATTCATTCATTCATTCGACAAGAATATCTACTCTTTGCTAGGCAATAAGGATACAGATATGCATTTGACACAGTCCTTTCCTTCCCTGCCGGCCTTCCTGGAGCTCTGGCAGATTCCCTGGACTGCTTTCTTCTCCATGGCCTTTTCTTTATAATATGTATGAATGTGTTTGTGGTTAATCTCCCTATTACATTCATCGAAAGTATCTTTTTTTTTTAAGATTTTATTTATTTATTTGACAGACAGAGATCACAAGTAGGCAGAGAGGCAGGCAGAGAGAGAGGAGGAAGCAGGCTCCCTGCTCCCTCTCTCCCTGAGAGAGCCGGATGTGGGGCTCCATCCCAGGACCCCGGGACCATGAACTGAGCCGAAGGCAGAGGCTTTAACCCACTGAGCCACCCAGGCGCCCCCATCGAAAGTATCTTGAGGGCGAGGTACATTTGATTCATCTCAGCATGGTCTCCCTCATAACAATATATACTTTGTTTCAATATTTTACTTGCTTAAAAAATATTTAGTAAATCACCCTTTGGTTAAACGGACTACACATTGAATTTTCATCTCCTGTGTTGTTCTTTTCTCAAAAAAAAAAAAAATTAAATGCATGTGCCAACAGCAACAGCTTTTAATGAAAAAATGATGTGCTAGCCTCAAAGTATGTATAACTGGCAGTCATTGGTAAATGGTTTTGTAAGTATTTGAGAATAGCTTAGTTCTAGATAAGCAAAATACTTACCCAGTTAATGCACAACAAATATTTATTGAGCATTCATTATGAGCCAGGCTCTGTTCTTTGCACCTGAGGTACAACAGTAAAGAAAAGCAAATCCCTTCCCTCATCAAGCTCATGTTCTAATTTATCAAACATTTTTCTTCATAGGTTCCAGCCTTTGACACCTTCCATGTAAAAACGTCATTATCCACCCAACAATCAAATCCAGCGTGAATGAGTGAGCCAGCCAACCTTGAGAATCAGAGTTAGGAAAGAAATGGAGACAAAGACGGAAGCCCACAGGTCTGTACTAAGCATTGTCAGGTCCCTCTTGCTGCAGCCTGTGTTTCATTTTCAAGATATCAGAAATGGAGATGTTTTAATTTAGACTCTGGTGCAAAGTCAGGAATCTCCTAAGGGCAGATTATCACTGTCCTAAATAAAATTCCCTGAACAGGAAAATATCGATAAGGGTATCGAGAAGGCAGGAAGAGCGCCAGAGGAAGTGGCCTGGTTCCCCTCTGGAAAAGCACCGGTTACTGCCTCAGATGAATAGACTGGGATAAATGTCTAATATCAGTGAAAGAATATATTATCTCTCTCATAGAAATGTAAATGAAGATGGATCACAAAGCCCTTTCAGACGCCTCTGCCTTTTATAGCAACCAGAAGCAGAAAAGCCAAATGTAGAAGTTTGTGCTCTAAAGATTGAGTAATACAGAAAGCACTTTCTAGAAGCTCCTACTCTGGAAAGCTGTGAGGACACCCATGCTAAAAACAAATGGCATGTAACAAATTCTCTGCCACCCTTTTTCGTGTGCTCTGATGAGGAAAAACACTAGTAATTTTCCAAGCGCCTGTTTACTTTCACTTTATCTTGATGTTGGAGGAGGAGGAAACTCAGAAGCTCCACGTCACTGGCGGTCGGTGCCGGTAGAGCGAGAAGCCATTCTTGCACAACCCTGCTTCCCCTCACAGGCCTTCAAGCCAGGAGAGGCCGCTCTGCGGCAGGCAGGGGGAGCCCTACTCTCCCACACGTCGCATTAAAGCTTTTCTTGAAGTGCTCTTTGGGGCAGAAGCAAGCATTTCAAAAAAGTTATGGCCTCCCAGCATCAAGGGTGCATACTGACCCCCGTCTTCCTGTGTGGCCCTGCATTTCTCACCACCAACAGCCCCGGTTATGAGCATTGTAACGACTTCACACTCACGCCACAGTCTGGAACTTGAGATTGAAGGTGATCTGGATGGAACAGTCTGGTCTTTTTCACACTCAAGAACCGTTCTGGTTGAAGGATCGGGGATGTGGTGACCGGAAAGTCTAGTGTGCATATTGGATAAATTACCTACACAGTATCTGCTATAATGCCCTTTTCTTTTCTTTTCTTTTCTTTTTTTTAACACCAAGAAGCTCTTTCAGATGTCTGCAGTGCTTTGAATCATTCTGCCGTCCGCGGCAGGAAGTTGATCCCGGGACATTCACAGGGTTGTCTTTGTGATCCTTACCCAATACAGAGCGCCACAGAGGGGCAAGAGCGTTTGTACAGCGCTGGCACACAGCTCCCCTCACTTCATACAACCAACTGGCAAAGGCAGGGACAAGACCTGTTTAAAGCTGGGATCAGAGACACATTCTCTGACTGTTAAAGGAGAGATCTTTGGCCCCGAGGGACTCAGCCTCCCAATGCCAACTAAAACCAAATAAGCCCACTGGCTTTATTTATTTATTTAAGATTTTATGTATGTATGTATTTGAGAGAGAGAGAGAAAGAGAGACAGCAAGAGAGGGGACACAAGCAGGGGGAATGGTAGAGGGAGAAGCAGGCTTCCCGCTGAGCAGGGATCCAGATATGGGGCTCGATCCCAGGACCCCCAGATCATGACCTGAGCCGAAGGCAGAAGCTCAATGACTGAGCCACTCAGCTGCCCCAGCTCACTGGCTTTAATCATTACAGTAGGCCAAAAAAAAAATCCTTAATATCTGTTTCTAGCACGGAATCAAATTATTATTTGAAAGACAAAACTGTTTTTTTTCTTTTCTTTTCTTTTTTTTTAGAGAGAGAGAGAGAGCACAAGTGGAGAGGAGCAGACGGAGAGAGAGAATCTCAAGCAGGCACCAAGCCCAACACAGAGCCCGACATGGGGTTCCATCTCACAACCCTGAGATCATGACCTGAACGGAAATCAAGAGTTGAACACCTAACCGACTGAGCCACCCAGGCACCCCCAAAGTTGTCTCTTATTAATTGAAAAGATCCTCTAAGAAGCCTTGTGCATAAAGGCACACTTAAGATTTTTACCTTCTCCTAGTTGTAAAATTAGCCCTGGCTCAGCAAGACTCCAGCTGGGAACATGTTGTATCATTATCTTCATTCCATGGATGATATTTGGTAATATTTCATTATTCTAAGTTTGTTCTATGAATTTTCTCAATGTTTCCTATAATTGTGCCAGGACCCAATCCAGTTGCTTCTGTGAAAACACTGAATTCATGATTTCTACTGACATGCTAGTTTGAAGTTTGCAATGACTAGGACACTGGTGTAGTGCAACAGACCAGCACTCCCATCCTGGGCTGTTACTGAGGAGGAGGTTCCCTCCAGAAGAGCTGTTGATACTCCAGTCTTGGTTCCATAAACCTTGCTGTTTCCAATTACAGGACGGGAAGCTAGAACTGGGGGGCGGGGGGGGCGGGGGGATCTCTGTTCCCATTGGGAAGTGAAAGTTCAGAATACAGGAGAGAGAAATAAGTCCCAAAACCTACCTGTATTTTCTACACGTCCCTTCCACACCATCCTCACTTCCTCCTTCTGTGACAGGCTCCCTCTCAGGGACGGCTCTAACCATCACCCATTTTTAGTCTTTGCTGTTGGCAAGAATGGTAGCTGCAGAGTCATTGCCCCTGCCCCA